TTTTTTGGAAATTAGGTTTTCACTTTATTTTGTTCCACTCCAAAATTTAAAACACTTTCCAGACTACATGGAAAAACACACTTGAAATTGAAAATTGATTTTTCTAGTCCTTGTTTACTGGGTTTTACTTAAATGTTAAAATAAACTTGGCCATAAAGCAAGTATGACTTGGTATGCAGTACAGTGAAATGAAGTGGAAATTCTTGAATCCAATATCTATCCGGTCTTTGGAGGGTAATCTGAAAATAAAAACTCACTTGATCTCTAAAATTTTCTTGGACTTATTTTCTTATTTCTCTACTTCTCTTTATCCTGTATTCTTTTCCCTCCCTAGTCTCCCCCGCCTTGCCCCCTCCCCCACCACGCACAGGCATTCATTATTTTATCACTAAGGGTTTCTCATGATTGGGCTACTCATCAAAATCAAATGTATGGGTTTCACAACACTAACTTACAATTTTCTTCCCCTTTTAAGCCTGAATTCTTACTCATCTCTCAAGCTGCCTCTCAAAAGTTACTTCCCTGTGATATTTGCCTGATTCGCAGTTCCCAACCCGCCACTGTCTGTTCCATGCTTTTTTCAGCACTTTGGCCCCTCTTTTGTGGCATCTGTGTTTCATCACGTACTTCGAAATTATTGGTTTGTGTTTGACTGTTTCTCCCATTACACTGGGATCATATTGAGGGTCACAGTGATGTCTTAGTCTGCACTACCTTCCCTTCTGCCAGTGCCTAACACATTGCTCAATGTACATTCGCTCAATTGGGGGAAAAAAAAAGCCTTACTTTTGAGAGTCAAATGTATTAAAATAGAATGAAGTATACTGACATCCCAGGTAAGGATTGTTTAAATAAAAATTTAAAAAAGCGGAAAGACAAACTTTGCATATTTTCACTCATTTCTGTAGCTAAAAATAAAAACAAGTGAACTCATGGAGGGAAAGAGGAGAATGATGGTTACCAGAGGCTGGGAAGGGTATTATGGGGTGGGGGTGGGTGGGGGACAAGTAGGGATTGTGAATGGGTACAAAACATAGTTAAATAGAATGGATAAGATCTAGTATTTGATACCACAACAAGGTGATTATAGTCAACAATAACTTGTTCATGCCTGTAATCCCAGCACTTTGGGAAGCCGAGGCAGGTGGATCACGAGGTCAGGAGTTTGAGACCAGCCTGGCCAAAGTGGTGAAACCCCATTTCTACTAAAAATACAAAAAATTATCTGGGCGTGGTGGTGGGCACCTGCAATCCCAGATACTCGGGACGCTGAGGCATGAGAATCGCTTGAACCCAGAGACAGAGGTTGCAGTGAGCTGAGATCGAGCCACTGCACTCCAGGCCAGGTGACAGAGCAGGCGAGATCCTATCTAAAAAAAAAGACAAAAAAACCTGAAAGAGTATGATTGGAATGTGTGTAGCACAAAGAAATAATAAACACTTGAAGAGATGGATACATTCACCACTAAAAAAATTTAAAAGCTTCTCTTGGTTTCATGTTTTACTCTGGGCATGGCTGGGCATTGTCAAAGCCTCCCTTCACCCTTCCTCAACTGGTCCTTCAACTTTGCCCATCTAATTCACATTTGGAAAGGGGAAGGTAGAGGAAGTCGAAGCCACCTAACTCAGCCTGGTTCCCTCTGACAAACCTATTTAGGCACCTTTTGATACCACAGCCCCTCCTACAAGCCTTCAGGCAGGTCAGCTGTGGCCCTCTCCTTGACCCTGAGCCCTCTGCTGCATTCTCAGCTCCCCCAGTGGCTTTGCTCTTATGGTATCTTTTGGCCTTCTAGATCCCCTGACATCAGTTCATCATGATTCAAACTCATGAGAAGTGGGCTGTGATGGGCTCAGCCCATCTATTCATATCAGGCCTAGGGGGTCCCCTGGCAATTGCATGAATATAGATTGGCTGATTTTGGATAGGTGACAATTCCTTGACCCAGCAGCCATGGGCTCTGGAGTCCATACAAGTTCTTCCTTCTGGAGGAAAGGACGTTGTGGCAAGATTTCTCATTTAGTGCCCTATATACTCACCTTTGATCATTTCGCATGATTCTCTGCATAAAGAAAGAGGGAGCATGATAGAATTTGTCCTACCTTGCCCTGCTCTTGATCAGCAATGGCCCCATGCCTTCTTGTCTTGATAACTGTTTTACCCACATTACTCTAGTTGTTCTTAATAAGAGGTAAGCTTTTTCAGCTAAGAGCATGTCCTTATATTTATTTGTTTCTCCACATACCAACTAGTTTATTACCTGACAGGGGCTGAATACATTTTTCAGCTTCTTAATTGAATGGAGAGGGTGCTGGGGAAGATCTCAGTGTAAAAGCATCCCTCAACTCTCTCAAACCTTTCCTTGGCTTATCCAAAACCAAGATCATATATGAGTGCCAGCATACTACCTACGATCAAATACCTCAGAAAAAGAGAGAGGTTGGCTAAAAGGAAGGAAGACATGCTTTTTTAGCCAGTGCCTATTCTGCCCCAGGCACATCACTGGATGTTTTACGCATGGCGTGGCATTTCATTCAGTCCCCACAGGAAAAGAGGGAAAAATTCATCCATTTCACTGGCGTGGTCATGAGGTCATTCATTCCAGGCACTGGGAATCAAATGGTGAATAAATCAGTTTTACAGAGGAGAAAACTGATGCTTAGAGAGGTGTTGACTTGTTAAACACAGGCAGCTACTAAATGATGGAGCTGGGATTGTAGACCCAGGATTTTGTCTCCAAAGACTGCCTATATTTCTTTTACACAATCATGCGCCACATAACAACATTTTAGTCACAGTAAATGGCATAAGTGACAGGGATCCCATAATATTATATCACCTTGTTTTGTACCTTTTCTATGTTTAGATGTTTAGATACACAAATACTTACCATTTCATTACAACAGCCTGCAGTATTCAGCACAATACCATGTTGTATAGGTTTGCAACCTACGAGCAATAGGCTATATCATAGAGCCGAAGTGTGTTATAAGGCTAGAATATAAACCCACATTTAGGTTTATGTAAGAACGCTACAATTTCACAGAAGGAAATCATTTAATGACACATTTCCCAGAACATATCATCTTCATTAAATAATGCATAACTGAATGCTCGCATACTGCAACCTGAGAAACAGGGAAAGTACCCCCTGTATTTTGACATCATAAATCACTGAAGTTTTACTCTGCCTACACTTTACTCTCGTTGGGGGAATTTTTGTGATCAGAGCTGTAAACAAACTAGGTTGCTCATTCTGTGACTTTAGACAGTTTACCTCAGGGTCATTTTCTAAAAATGAGTAGATCCTATCAAATGGGAAAATTCATTTGTTTGCAAAATAGTCATAACGAACCTCTCTGGGCCAAGCCCTTCATCAGACACAAGAGGCACAGTGGAGAACCAAAGTTCCAGCCCTTTGGAGCTTTCCTGCTGGTTGTAAAGACAGATTAAGCTACCTATCTACCTACTTCCTAACTAAACTGACCAAGAATCTTTCTGAGTTGTAGTAAGTGCTCTGAGGAAATGACCAAGGGGCTGAGACAGAGAATAACATTAAGGGATAGAGTTTAGGTGGGGTGTCCAGGGAGGGCTCTCCAAGGAAGTGAAACTTGAGCTGAGATTCAAAGGCAGAAAAGGGACCAAAACAGGAGATGAGTGGAGGAAAGAGGATCCCAGGCAGAGCATAACACGCATGGATATCTGAGGTAGAAAACAGCTGTGTGTAGGCTGGGCACAATGGCTCATGCCTGTAATACCAGCACTTTGGGAGACCAAGGAGGGTAGATCACTTGAGGTCAGGAGTTCGAGACCAGCCTGGCCAACATGGTGAAATCCTGTCTCTACTAAAAATACAAAAATTAGCCAGGCATGGTGGTGGGTGCCTGTAATCTCAGTTACTAGGGAGCCTGAGGCAGGAGAATTGCTTGAATCTGGGATGCAAAGGTTGCACTGAACTGAGATCACGCCATTGTACTCCAGCCTGGGCAACAGAGCGAGACTCTGTCTCAAAATAAATAAATAAATAATACACACATACATAACAAAGAAAGAAAGAAAAACAAAGCAGCTGTGTATATTCAGAAACCCGAAGGCCAGAGGGACTGGGTAGAGTAGGCAAAAGCCACAGCATGGGGAGATGGGGATGAAGAAGACCAAGGTGGAATTGGGCAGTACTGGGAGGTGATCTTAAATGGAGAAGGTGCTGGTAAAGTGCTGGGTGAGGATGAGAGAGCATCTAATTGATGCTTTAAGAAAGCCACTTGAGGGGCTGCTGCAGAATCCTGATGAAAGAGGATGGTGGCCTGGGGCTGGGGAGAGAAGGCAGTGCCCAAGTATATTGGGGAGACGGAATGAGCAGTCAACAAGTTAGGTGTTGGGAATAACAGGAAAGGGAGAAATCACTTCTAGGTTTTTTTGCTTAAGTAGTCAGAAAGCCTAAGGTCAAATGCCTACTAAATTGTAGCTGCTCATCAAATGTTGGTTCCTCTCACTATCACATATTCTACACGTCTAGAAAAGTTATA